GGGGGGGGATTTAAATAAAGAATACTCTCTGGGACTCTTACTTTTCATTTTTCCCTTATATTGTACAAAGTTTGCAGTACACTTTATAGCACAAACAAAGCATACCATTTTATATTAGATTATCTCCAAGCTTAAACGCTTAAATACGCTTAAAAAAAAAAATCTGTATTTTCTGCATAATTAATGATATAAATTTGTATTTAAGCTTTTTACAATTTTTGAATTGATAAAATATTTCAAAATGTTCGGTATGTTTCTTAAAAATCCCCATTTAGATCTAAGTACGATCCAATGTAATGAGGGACACCCTACCCTGTACAGTTTACATATTGCACAACCTGACCCTGACCCTGTACAGTTTACATATTGTACAACCTGACCCTGTACAGTTTACATATTGTACAACCTGACCCTGTACAGTTTACATATTGTACAACCTGACCCTGTACAGTTTACATATTGTGCAACCTGACCCTGATCATTGTAATTTTTCTTCTAGAATAATCTGTCCCCTGGACTACAGAGTTGATCGTCTTAAGGAGATGATCTCACAACAATTTCCAGGCAATCCTAAACCTCAGGTGTGTTCAATCATTTATTTATTCATTCATTCATTCATTTATTCATCCTTTCATTCATTCATTCATTCATCCTTTCATCCTTCCTTTCATCCTATCATTCAATCATTCATTCATTCATTCATTTTTCATTAATTCATTAATTCATTAATTCATTAATTCATTAATTCATTAATTTTTTCATTCATTCATTCATTTTTTAATCCTTTTACTTATTAATTCATGCGTTTATCCCATCATTCTTTTTCTCCATCCTTCCATTTATTCATTCATTCATCCCAATCATTTACTTTATCTCATATTTATTATTTACTCGTTAATAGTTTTTCTATTGCCGAGATACGATTTTCCAGCCATTGTTAACATCCATGCATTTATTAATAAGATTCCTGATATCTAAATATATATTTAATGAAAAATCGTGTATTTTGTCTTTTAATTAGGGAAATTATTTATAGGCTTTTTATCCCGAAATTGGGAAAGATAAATGAATCTTTGAATAAAAAGTAGTAAAATTTGCAAATTAATATTAGTTTTTTGTTTTTTCTTCATCTTCAAAATATATATCCCTTCAATAATAAATATCTAACATATTAATATTAGAACCAGAAACTTGTGTATGCGGGTAAGCTATTGGAGGACGGGTTCAGGTTGAACCAGTTTCTGAGGTTCGAGGACGAGTGCCCGGTCTTCACCATCCACCTAGTTTGCAGGATACTACAGGTACAATGCATCTTACATTTTCTTCATCTAGAGGGGTGAGGGGTGGGGGGACCCAGACCCATCCACCTTTTCTGCAGGATACTACATGTACAATACATCTTACATTTTCTTCATTTAGGGGGTGGGGGCAGCCATCCACCTTGTCTGCAGGATACTACATGTACATTGTACAATAGATCTTACACTAGTCATCTTGGGGGGGGTGGGGGCGTTTTTTTTTATTTGACAAATGGAATTTCATCTACACTGCGTTTCAAGTTATGATGCAAATCGGGTTTTTTTAGGGTTAAAACTGAACGGCAGAAAAATTTTAAAAAATAGTTTTTTTTAAAAATTTTACTTTTCAAGGAACTCACAATAGTTTCCGAGTCGGAATTTAAAAAAAACGTACTTTTATAATAACTTGAGACGCAGTGTAGTAAAGTAAACTTTTCACCTCTTATTTTCCCGTAAAAAAAAAATTAAAAAGTATTTCCCTCAAAAATTTGATAAACCTTTCTGAGTTTTGTTTGTTTCGACGGTGTGGAGGTAATTTATATTATGGAATTCTGTGGCAGGACTAAACTTTATGTCTCCTATGGAGAGCTAAAAAAATGACTCAATGCTTTGTCCCAAATAAATTATAATGTATTTGATCACCAGGCAGAGCTAAAAAAAATTACTCAATGCTTTGTCCCAAATAAATTATAATGTATTTGATCACCAGGCAGAGCTAAAAAAAATTACTCAATGCGTTGTCCCATATAAATTATAATGTATTTGATCACCAGGCAGAGCTAAAAAAAATTACTCAATGCTTTGTCCCAAATAAATTATAATGTATTTGATCACCAGGCAGAGCTAAAAAAAATTACTCAATGCTTTGTCCCATATAAATTATAATGTATTTGATCACCAGGCAGAGCTAAAAAAATGACTCAATGCTTTGTCCCAAGTAAATTATAATGTATTTGATCACCAGGCAGAGCTAAAAATAAATTATCCACTTCAAGGAGCGGGGGAAGGCAGGCGGCCAAAACCATAACATTTTTCCTTTGCATGCCACATGCTTTCCCCCGCTCCTTTAATTATTTTCGGAACTTAATTTTTCTCCGTGTTAGAGTGAGAGTAGGGAACCTGAGCTGAGACGAAGACGGGTTGAGAAGACAAGTGAGGAGCTGGAGACCGAACCTTTACCTGCTCTCTACCAGGACGGAGTCAACTCTTGGGTCCAATATCTCTCCAGTCAGAACCAATACACAGAGGATCATCAACAGGTTTAAATAATTATAATCCATTGGAATATAAAATATGTATCCCCGCCTCGCCATTGCATGTATAAAGAAAGCAAATTTATCAAAAAGAGGAATATGACATGAAATAATTATCCTGAAAGACACATCCCTCTTGTAATTTATTTGATAGCCCTTTTTAAACTGTTTTAAAAATACTAGGTTCTCAATTAGCCAACAAGATTTACTTTCCTCTTAGAAATGTTTTTTTAGCATATTTAAAATGTATTCTAGATAGTTTTGAAATATTATATTTTTTTGATGAAATATCTTATTTTTGATTTATTATTGTTTCAGCTGGTAGTTATGCAAGAACTGTACACGCAGTATCTTAGTCAGTACATGCAGTACATGCAGACCACCACACCCGTTATTCAACCAGAAATTCAGGTCAGTAAGTACAGTACACGCAGTACATGCAGACCACTACCGTGATTCAACCAGAAATTCAGATCAGTGCTTACAGTACACACAGTACATGCATTGCAGACCACACCTGTGATTCAACCTGTAATTCAGAGTAGTACATGCAGTACATAAAGTACTTGCAGACTATTACAGTTATTTAACCTGAATTTCAGGTCATGCAGTATATATAGTACACTTTATAATAAAGTTAAATACAGCGCAGTGCAGTGTACACGTAAACCATACATTAACAAAAAGACCACTGAAAATCGTTAAAAATACATATTTGTACTTTAAAAAATGTGTTTTTTTGTATTGAGAAAAGTATTTACTTCAGGGCGGACCAAATGAAAGGGAAAGGCGGGATATAGGAGCAGCTCCTGCAGTTATGAATGCAGGGGGCGGAGCTCAGGGCTTCCAAGAGGTGGAGGAGGAAGGTAAGAAGGGTAGTGGTCTGAGGTAGCCAAAAGGTTCGGTTGGAGTATTGAATTATTTACATGTATGCTTGAAAGACACCTAAAAATCTTGTTTTGCATGCAATCATTTTTTATCAAAATCAAAAATAATTTCAAATTGAAAAAAATGCATTTTTCACAATATTTCGATATTGGATAAAGAGTCAAGTCATGGGAAAGAGTAATTATACATTGTATTAGTGATTTGATAAGTGTCCAGTTAAACTTTTTTCTGTATAACAACCTCAATTACACTTAAGTATTGCTATAAAGTCCTCTTCCTATTCCGGAATTTTCTGGTTATCACTGAGTTTGTTGGGATATGTTAGACTGGTTGTATGTATCTATTATCTAGGTGGTAACAGGGATATGTTAGACTGGTTGTATGTATCTATTATCTAGGTGGTAACAGGGATATGTTGGACTGGTTGTATGTATCTATCCGGATTCTGATCCTGGTTTCTATTGTTTACTTCTACAGTTCTCTTGCTAGATTTATCATCGTAGCAATCATATTCTTAGTTCTCTTCTCGTTACAGGTATTTTAGTAAAATGATCCACCTTCTTTTAATATTTTAAACAATTTTTTTAGCATTTTCCAGTGTTCGATGTAAAAAAAAAACACGTTTTCTTTTTGCATTTGCCATAAATTTTATTGATTTATATTATAAGCAACCTCGCCATTAAAATGTTAACTCTGGGAAAAGATATTTGCATAAACCAACCAAAACTGTTAATTCTTAACATTTTTTTTAAATGTAAAATGTTAACCCCTGGAAAAGATATTTGCATAAACAAACCAAAACTGTTTATTCTGAACATTTTTTTAAAATGTAAAATGTTATCCCCTGGAAAAGATATTTGCATAAACGAACCAAAACTGTTTATCCTTAACACATTTTTTTTAATATAAAATGTTGACCCTTGGAGAAGATATTTGCATAAACGAACCAAAACTGTTTATTCTTAACACATTTTTTTAATATAAAATGTTAACCCTTGGAGAAGATATTTGCATAAACGAACCAAAACTGTTTATTCTTAACATTTTTTTTAATATAAAGTTTTAACCCTTGGAGAAGATATTTGCATAAACGAACCAAAACTGTTTATTCTTAACATTTTTTTAAAAATGTAAAATGTTATCCCTTGGAGAAAATATTTGCATAAACGAACCAAAAAAAGAGGATCGTTCATTTGGTTCGATATTTAGCCAGGGCCCGGCTATAATGTAAGAAAATCAAAGGTTTAAAATAAAAAACGAATGAAACTAAATGGCCAACACTAGTCCTGAAGGTTTCAGGGTAAAGTTTAATTTAAAAAAAAGATTTATGAATTAGCAATAAGACTTCTTCTGTTAATTTTTCTCTATTTATTGAACTTTAAAAATTGAAAAATATATTTTGAAATAAAAATTATGAAAATATAAAAGGGGAAAAAACAAAAAGTTAAAAAAATAGAAGTTCATTAATAAGGAAATTAAACAATTAATAAAATTTCAAAATTTCAAAAAAATTAAAACGATTGAAATTTAAAAATCTGTTTATTTAGGGAGGAATATGGAACTGGGCCCGGGGGGACCGGCACCATATTCAGAACGAGGTAAACAATATCAGAGGAGAGGACGGTGAAGTTAGACGCGAGGATCCAGTACACAGAGAACCTCGAGGAGAGGACGAAGAGCTCAGGGTTGAAAATGAGCTTGAGATCCGTCCCCCGGAACCAAATCTTCTCCTGATTGTCGGAGATTTCGTAGTTTCATTCTTCAGCTCGATGATACCGGATACGAATCAACCGATTGCGTAAATCGCGTAGCTTTCTCCAAGAAAAATGCGTCATTTATACCAGATACAGACCCTTTGATTTTCAAGATTTAAGGATAACAAGAAAAAAAGAAATTCTAAAGTTGCAAACCAACGCAATTTTACGCCAAAATTTAAGTTTTAATTTAAATTTTGTTTAAATTATTGTTTTTTCATTTTTCATCAGTCTTGACAAACAACAACCTAGAAAAGATGTAGTTGTTCAGTTTTGATTGCAATACATATTACTTATATAGTGGGGCCCATACTAACTAGAACTTCTTGCAAAAATATATTATTTATCGAATTTAAACAAAGCTTTAAAATAATATCCTTTCAATTTACTTAATTTTTTGCCAACTTTAATGAGTTTCTATTTATTAATAGATTTTCCCCCTCCCCTCTTCGTCCTCAACTCTCTATAAACCCCCTAACTGGTATCTTTCAAAAATTCAAATTCACTAAATACAAAATGTGTTAAGATATAAAAGATTCCAATGGGGTAATTATATTGGAAAACATGGACATTCTCTAATTACCTGTAAAGCAATATTGATTATTTTTTTTTTAAAGATTAATGTCTTTAATGTTTATTGTTCACCATTTTATGAAAACATTTGTGATATTTTGAATATTTTAAAGTTGTGTAGCCTCGTTGTAGCTTAAAAGGGACTGTCATTGTAATTTCACGTGGCCCCTTAAATTCATAAATGGGCATGCCCGAATCTCAACGTTTCATTTGACGATATTCGCGGTTTTCTAGATAAAAATTGATACTTCTTATTCAGGGTTTCTCTTGACATAGTAACTGTGGATTATGGACCAAAGAATAAAAATTCAAAATTCAACATTTTAATAAAAAACGAAGATATCTTTTACCCATCGTTGCTCGTTAAACTATTTTGGAGTGTGCCGTTGTGAATCGGGCACGCCCCTCTTTAAGTTTGGGATCACTTGAAGTCAAGGGGCTTTAATGATTTGAAAAAGTTAATTCAAGGATATGTGTTTTTCTTATATTTCATTGCCAATGAATATTTCTGCCAAATTTTTAATGCGATTATTACACAATGCATATTTAAAGGCAATTAACTAATCGAATCCTATTAAAAATTATGATTCATAACTTATATTTAACACGATTTTTGTTTGTCAGAGAAAATTTTGATTTAGATATTTATGTTATATATGTGGGTTTTTTAATCATGTGTGATAACAGTTATTTTTAAGTTTAAATAAACTGTAAATCTTATTAGATTTAAAATTATTTCTTCATTAGTAGACTGAAGATGAGGCACAGGGTTAGAAGAAGTTGGTTTATCAATGTGAACATATCAAGAATGAAGAAATCAAATATGACAGAAATTGTTCACTGTCTACACTTTCTGAACATAATAGGAATAGTTACCATCTACACAAGCTGAACAGTGAACATATCAGGGTGTCCCAAAAAACATGGGAATTCAGTGACGGATTCGATATCGTCTTTTCAAATAATTCTTTGATTTAGTATAGTGATACCTACTGAGAAAGCTGTAATCTGTAAGAGTTTCGTCTGCTATGTTTACATTTTGTTTGTTTATGTTTTGACTGCATACGGTTGTACTTAGTAAAACAAGAAAATTACAGTATACAAACAGAGTAAACTTGTCCGTCCTCACTGTTCATCTTGCGGAGACAATATAGACACATCTTTTCGGTCCTTTACCCTTTTCTTTAAATAAACTCTAGCAGACATAATAATATTATGGCTTTTGAAATTAGGTATTACAATGCTAATTCACAACAAAGACGATATCGAATTCGTCACTGAATTCCCACGTTTTTTTGGGACACCACATATCAGGGATATTATCTTCTCAAGCATATCAAGCTGAACATATCAGGGATATTATCTTCTCAAGCATATCAAGCTGAACATATCAGGGATATATATTATCTTCTCAAGCATATCAATCTGAACATATCAGGGATATATATTATCTTCTCAAGCATATCAAGCTGAACATATCAGGATTAGTTCCCTAGTTTGCACATAAAGCTATAATTAAGAAAAGACTCCTTTTTATAATAAACTCCGATCTCCCGGTGAAATATCGATTGCACAAATGTTCGATCGTACTAACGTACATTCGTACTAACGTTTATTCGGACTAACGTTCATTTGCACTATAGTGCGGATGAACACTTAATTGTTCAAACAACTAAAATCCGGGTGGAAGCTTTTTTTAGCACGTGGAAAACTATTTTTTTAATTCTAGCGGAATTCGCCTCAAGTAATTAATTAGGAGAAACGAACATATTTTAGAAGGAAAATAAACAAAAAATGTTCAATTGTACAAAAGCCAAAAAGTGTGGGTAAAATCGAAGTTTGTACAAATAACATATTTTAGTGCAAATGAACAAAAAATGTTCAATCAAACTAAAATTACTAATTTTACCCATTAATTATATAACTAGTACAAATAATCGTATTATGAACAAAAAATGTTCAATCGAACTAAAATTACCAATTTCACCATGCAAAATGCATTTTGGCCATAAAATTAGTACAAATAAACGCATTTTAGTGCAAATGAAGAAAAAAATGTTCAGTTGCACTAATATTCACAGGTAAAACATTAGTCGATTTGAACATTTTTTTTTTGTTGGAAATGTTCATCTTCACTAACGTTAAATTGCGCTATAATAATTACAGAAAAAAATTAGTTAGGTTGAACAAAAATTTGTATTATTCCAGATCAATTGCACTTTGATTTTAATGATCATTTGTACTAAATTTCTTGGCGGGAAAATAAAATTTAGTCCTGCAATTGAACACGGTAATGCCCGAGTTGCATTTGCACTAATATACAAACCGGTTTCTGATCAGCTAACATTAGTGCAAATGTATACGTTAGTTCAATCGGACACTATATATTGCAAACGATATATATAGCATCTCGACCTCCCCCCCTTTCTAGGAATTTCCTTTTTTAAAACTGACGCACGCCGAAAATGGCGTTTGACTTTTCTTGAATCTCAGAAGTTTATAAAATTGCCTCTACCTCCCTTTGACAAAATCAATGTTTAGGCCCCTGAAACTTTTTTAACGCTATGTGATTGTAAAACCCCTGTATGACGTCATGGAAAACATTCTGTTCAAGAGTACAAATAAATGTATTCATATAATAAAACCGGTTTTAGTGCACAATGTTCTGTCCACGGAGAGAGACTAGAGTGCACACGGAGCCTGGAGGTCGGAGACTCATTCGTCCACAAGGCACTGTGAGAAGAGTAAGAACTTAAGTTAATGATAATGAGCCTCAACAATATATCTCATTATTATTAATGTTCATGTTTGGGGACTACCATTACCATAGACATGCATAGTTATTACAATTTAATTATCTACTGCTATAATATGATTGACTATAAACATATACATCCAGGCGCGGATACAGGAGGGGGTCAAGGGGTGAAAAAAGGGGGGTTCAAGAGTATCTTTTGACTCCCCCTTTTCTAGATACCAACTTAAAAGTGTAATGTAGATTTTAAGTTGTAACTAACACTGAATGTAATTGAATATGATTCTTGAAAATTAAGTAATTATCTGCATGATTTCAGCGCATTGAAACACATTATTTTTTTAGTATTATTACAGCGACATCAAAACGATAGTATGGGGTGTGAAATTTTGTGAAATTTTCAGAATTTTACAAAAGCAAAATTGTATTTTACTTGGTTAATTCTTAATTGGCCCGAGATGGAATTTAAAGAATTTGAGCCGCGGTTTAAATCTGCCAAAACCCGGTTTAAATTAAGCGCCGGCTTAAATCTTGAAACATTTGATACAATTTTAAGTGAAACCAACCATATCAAAGCCGCGGCTTAAATTTAAACCGCCGCTCAAATTCTTTAAATTCGGCCAATGTTTTCAAAATAAAATGTTTAAAAAAATCAGAAATGCCTCCCTGAATTTGAAATGGGTTGTAATGATAAAAAATGTAAAAACACTAATTTTAAAAATGAAAATTTAAATTTGATTCAAATATTCAATTTGATTCAATTCAAAGTTTTAGAAAAAAAAATTAATTCTTTTTCTCCGAATAATTAATTTTTTGATTTTATGTTTTTATTAAAACTTTTTGAAAAAATCAATAATCGCATGTTTGATATTTTTTGTTTTGAAATTTAAAAATTTTGTACTTCTTTTACCTTTAAAAACTACATATTTTAGAAAATGGGTGCACTGCCTTGCCTTGTATCACAGTATAGACCTGAACTGGGAACTCTTGTATTGATCTTCATCTTTTGTTAATCTGTAGATTAATTTAATCCTGCATGGTAACTGTACCCAGTCAGGGTTGAAGGGAGTTTTGATCAGGAGAGGAATAACTGAAAATATCCTCAAATTAACAGTGCCCACAATAGATCTCGAGATCAATCGATCTAGGTTATTAGTATCAAACAAAACAGTTCTCAGCCCTGATCAGAGTAATCCAAGATAGATTCACCGGACGACTGAGGAACTCCCAAAATCATGATGTAATCACAAGGATGGCGTCCAAAAAAACAACAGGTTGGGAGAATCGAATCTTGATTCTAAAAGGTAAGTTAGGTATTGAATATATTTGTTTGTGACTTGCCTTCATTAATGATTACTTCTTTCTTTTTATAATTATACTCATTGCCCAATATATTTTTTTCCAGCTGGTTTATATCCCTGATATGTTTTGTTTTGATCTCCTCCCACTGCAACTGAAACTGATTAGCAGGGTTCTGAGACCAGATTTAATGATTGAGAGGCGTAAAATTGAACTACATAGAGAGTTGAATGATTCAACTTGAATCATTAGATATGATTCAACTACGTCTACATCTATACTCTAATTCATAATGGTCCCAGGTTACAAGTATATTTTCCTTGTTAATATACCTTTTTCGTAATTATATTATTTTTTTTAGAAAAGCCTATTAATGTGTTGCTGTGATTGTTTTATAATATTTTCCTCTTTTAACATGAGGCGCCGCTGGTGTAGTGGTATCATGCAAGATTCCCATTCTTGCGACCCGGGTTCGATTCCCGGGCGGCGCATGTTTTGCCGACTTTCTCCAATTTTGCTTAAAGGTAGATTTTTTCATGTTTACATAGTTTGATTAAATTATTTACTTGTTATTACTCATCTTTTTATAAGTTGTTGAGAGTAGGTGAATTGCTTCGTTCTATTGGCTATTTTTCTCAATTATAATTAAATCTTACAATATTTTTTTATGTATTGATAAAATATACTTTTTAAACTTGCAAATAAATGATTTTACGCGCGGGATAAACATGTGAAAAAACAGGTTTTTCGCCGGTTCTCCCTTTTCGTCCCTTCCCCCCCTGTCTTGATCTTTATTCCCGTCTACCTGCCCAGTACCCGGACCTCCCCCCCTATCACTTGAGGTTGAATCTATGTATATTCTTTTTAAAAAATCAGTTAATTTTTTCACAGTCTGTAGTTAAATTTGATCAAATTTGAGAAAATAAAATAAGTTTTTGCTGTGCTATTCTTTACATATTTACCCTGGTAGAGATACTGTGTGTAGTGTACACTTAATACACTCTCTCCGTCTAGTTGTTCACGCATTTACTGTCAAAATTGTGACAAACTTTTACACGGGCAGCATACTTCTTCTATTAAATACTTAATGTTTTTTTAACGGATGATTTTTTTAAAATGTTTAAAAGTAACAGTAGATGTGAAAGATAGATAATTGACGTCTCCAATTTTGCTTAGATTTTTTTGAAAAGATATGTTTTTAGATCTGTAGGTCGCGGAACCATGAACTTCTTATTTAAAGGATCTGTATTTTGTTTTGAGTCGTAACGTTTTACTTGAAATTCAACTACTTTTTTACTTAGTTATTTAGTTATTTCATCCAAACGTCCAACTTCAAATTTTAGCGATTAAAAACAATATTTTTAATGTGTTTATTTTTGTTCTAAAATTACTTAAACTAATCATTAAAATATCTTTATAAAATGAAATTATTCTTATGATGATATACTACTAAAAACTCGCATTAGAAAATTCTATGATTGTGAGAAAGACAATTTTAATCTGAATTTTTTGAGAAAGCTTAAAAGTTGTTGTTGTGTATGCTTATTTTTAGTCTTGTGTAGAAGAGGGTGTGTGGCCTAATGGATAAGGCACCAGACTTCGGATCTGGGGATTGCAGGTTCGAGTCCTGTCACGCTCGTACACTATTTTTGTGGTTTTTCTTGGTACAGGTAAAATTCTTTTATGTACTTTTGAGCAATAATTTCAAAATCCTATGAATATATTTCGAGTTATCGTTTTTTAAACCTTTATTTTTGTATAAAGAAAAACTGCAAGGACAAAAATCATCTATTTGATAACAGACTCCGTGGCGCAACGGTAGCGCGTCTGACTCCAGATCAGAAGGCTGCGTGTTCAAATCACGTCGGGGTCAATTATTTTAGCATTTTTATAATTATTTTACCAGTTTAAGTAAAGTAAAGAAGTAAAGTTCTATTGAAAGGAGCTTGCTTCAAACAAAAGAATTTGGATAGAGTAAAATGGGTAAAACTATTCCAAATTCCATTATCTTGTTCAGGAAATTTTCTAAATTCAGCTAATTCACAATTTAATTCTTAATTAATAAAAAATAGTTTTAAGGAACTAGAAAATTTGATTAAAACGCAAGATTGCATGGTCCGGGTGTATCAAGTGCACAATTCACCATCTCTCTCCTTTAACAGAACGACATAGACGTGCAATATGATCATAGTCAGCTTTGAACGAAGTACCGGAGCCACAGGGCTTGCGCATTGTTTGGAAGAATTGTGCAGTATTGTTCAAAAATGTTGTAAAATGTATTTTACACAAACTCTGGTTTTCTATTTTTTAGATCTTTGCAACTCAATGTCGTTCAAGTCGTAGACAAATTTTAAAGAAAAAGTAATCTAAGTTTTAATTATCAAAGATTTACAGTTAGGCTGCATAGATATAGGGATTAGTAAATTAGAGTTTATGACAAAGACTCAATTTTTTAAGTAACTTGTATATTACAAAAAAATCAAGAATATCAGACACCACTGTCATGTGCTTTAGGTACAATACATTCCAATTGAAGACAGAGCAAAGTAACAGAGCTACAAGGCTTGCATCAAAACTCCTGGAAAATTTCTTGAGGTTCATACTGGTTGGTTGGAAAATGCTTTCTCAAACAACAAATATCATTATACTCCCAAATTTATTTATTTCCTTCATTTTTAACTAAAAAAGAATTTAAGAAACATTGTTGGACACATTGTTAAAATATTTACCTCACTTTTTTTTATTAATGTCTCGAGAATTTGGATGGTTTCATAACTGTGCCGTTGGTATTATGATTAAAATTCACTTTCAAGCCATTGTCGGATCGAATCCGGGCGGCATAATTTTATAGGTTTTTTGCCTTGATAATATTGATAAATTTCTTGAATAAAATCATCATACATAATTTTAAATTTTTACTTTTAAGAATTTGAATTTTAAGAATTGTGGAAATTAGCTTATTTTTATTGCAGTAAATATTGTTCAAACCAAAGATTTTTTTATTAATGTCTGTAGAATTTGGATGGTTTGTACTGGTTGGTTGGAAATTGCTTTCTCAAACAACAAATATCAGCAATATATTCTTAAATTTATTAATTTACTTTATTTTAACTTAAAAAGAATTTAAGAAACTTCATATTGTTGGACGCATTGTTAACATATTTACCTTACTTTTTACTTTACTTAGAACTATTTATGTAAAAACTAATATTTTTTATTAATGTCTCTAGAATTTGGATGGTTTTATAACTGTGCCGTTGGTATTATGATTAAAAGCCTATTGACCCATTGTCGGATCAAATCCGGGCGGCATAATTTTAGGTTTTTTTGGCATTAATAATATTGATAAATAGCATTTACAATTTTAAACTTTTAATTAAAAAAATTTTCATTTTAAGAAATATGGAAATTAGCTTATTTTTATTGCAGTAAATATTGTTCAAACCAAATTTTTTATATTTATGTCTCTAGAATTTGTAGATGGTTTCGTAACTGTGCTGTTGGTAATAATAGAAAAAAGGCCTATAGCTTATTAATCTCATCAAATCCGGATGGCACAACTTCTTTTGTCCACACTACTAAATAAATTTATTTTTTAAATTTCCAATTTTGTTGTCTTGATAGCTGAATTGAAGAACCAAAAGAGTGGGTTTAAAGTTTATTTTTCTGGCTGACTTCTTTCTTGCCCTGGCTTGATTTTAACACACGCACTTATTTGTATGGATTGATCATCTACAGGAAGGGAAATATTTTTTCAAATTTTTTAAACATCCATATTCTTTTATAAAAGGAAGTTTTGCCTTCTCATACCGGCTGGGAGTGTGGCGCTCTCCTGTAATCCTGCTTCTGGGAGGCCAGTATTTGGGATGATATGAGGAAGGGGGTTCTATTTACTCTTGATTCATGTTGAATTGGCGTCCGCACTAAGGCTGGCATCAACATGGCCCCCCTGGAGGAGTTCAAGGGGATCAGGTATTTAAGCAAATATTATTGCAATCCAAGTCGAAATATCAGGTTTATGTGACATTTTCTTCCGTAAATTTTACTTTATGAATTTTAAAATAAAATATAAACATGATCAATAATAATAATGGAAGGAAGTTAACTGTAAAATGTATGAGATTTTAAGCCACCTGGAATTGATCCAGTATCCAGCCAATCAGAAGCCAGAAATTTTGAAATTTTGGACATTCAAAATCAAGATATCAAGGTAATTTCTGCGTGAAGTTCAAATGTCCCCAAAAAAATCTAAAGTGGATATCAAGATCAAGCAATACAATTGATACAGATTTACAATTTCTTTCCATGTATCAAATAAAAAAATAAAAACTTGAGCCACCTGGAATTGATCCAGTATCTTATACCCTGCTATATGAGCAGTGATTCTTTTATACCTCTGGCTCAGCTTATCTTTAAGTTCAATAATCTACAGTATGTATAAACTTGCACTATTGCAATATTAGTTAAAATATCCATATGAACAAAGTTTTTGTGTATTTTAAAAATTTAATTTAATTTAAACTTTAAATTATTGTTAAAAAAAAAACTTCATAAACTTTAAAAAACGTGAGCCATCTGGATACGATCCAGAATCTATTTCCAGACAATGCTAGTGATTTAAGTAATATACCTATGGCTCAACATGTAAATGCTGAATAATTTTATCTAAGGTGCTTGCCTTGCAATCATTGCAATTCAAGATGCAATTTAGAGACAATATTATTTGTAGATCGTGTCAAATGAATGATGCAAGTATAATACTATTTTTAGTTATGACAATAGATACAAATTAACTTTATTTAAAGATTGAGATTTAAACTTTAAATTATTGTTAAAAAAAAAAATTGATAAACTTTAAAACACGTGAGCCACCTGGATACGATCCAGAATCTATTTCCAGACAATGCTAGTGATTTAAGTAATATACCTATGGCTCAACATGTAAATACTGAATAATTTTATCTTATGTACTTGCCTTGCAATCATTGCAATTGAAGTCGCAATATTAACTGTTCGTAATTTTTTAGTATTCAGCTTATAGCAAATATTTCTCACAAAGGAATTGAGTCTTTGTCACAAACTATAATTTTCTAACCTCTGTATCTTTGAAATCCAATGCTGTAGACCTTAGCTATTTCAAACTATGAATTCTGTTAAATGAAAAAATCTACGTTTGAAAAATCAAAGGTTTACACAATCAGGTGGAACGAATATAGGTATTAGAAAATCAGAGTCTGTTACAAAGACTCAATTCCTTTAATACAAAAGTATCTTGCAAATATGAAATTAGTAAATGATATTTACTTATTGTTAGATTATAGTTGAAAATTTAATTTTAGTTTCTTTAGTGCTTATCAATTTCAAGGTGACTTTAAAATTTGAGGCTAAGACCACCATGGGATTAAAAAGATTGAAGATTGAACTAATCCACAAGTTTAAATAAGATAGTTATCAATGCTTCATACAGTCGTTTTAAAATAAGAATAAAGTTAAGACTATTTTGATTAAAAATTGACTGAGCATTTGGTATGTTAAATAAAATTTGTACACCATATATATATGCTGGGAAGAATAGAGCTTTGGATTAATTCCAGATATTTCAGGGATATACATCTTCTTTTAATAAGTCTAGAACATTTTTTATTATTTACAAAGACTGGTTATTGCACTGGACATTTGCATTCTTTGATAAAAGGAAACTTTTATTAGGATTTACAAGTCTAATATGTTTGCAACCTGAAATTGTTGATTATTTCATATTGTAAGAAAAATTGCAATTTTCATTTAATTCAAACAATGATTTATAACAGAAAATCATTAGAAATTACTATTACCAAGATTGTTTATAAATAAATGATACAAAAGATTTAATGTTTAATTTAGATTTATATCAATTGAAGAATAAGAAAGAAAAAAATTTCAAATTTAGCCTATGTTACCTCCAAGGTACTCAAGGCCTTCCTCAAAAAATGTCAGTCAATTTGGTTCAGCCGTTTATTTTACAATACTATTTGTTTCTATCGTTAGAATAAAAATCTTACCAATTAAAAAAGATGTTCCAGCATGTATTTTAATGAATTTTTATGTAAACATAACAAATAGAACATCCAATCTTTAAAAAATATTTAAATTTAACAATTGTGAATTATCTTAAATCTTTAATAAAAATTACTTCCACTGGTCAACAATCCACATAGTTATTATTACTTTCTTGATCAAGAGTATTTTTTTCAATAAAAAAGTGTAAGTTGATGTTTTGATAAATTGATATAATAAATTTCTTAAAATATGGTTTCAAGTATACTACACAGCAACAAATATTTTATATGGTTTATCATTAACTTCTTGGAATTTTCATTTATTCTATTTATTTTACATTCCTTGAATAAAAAAAGAATGAAAATTGTTGCATACCAAAAAACCAGATTTGTCTATGCATTAAAAATTCTTTCCAGAAAATTTACGACAGAATCATCATTCGCACATTTTTACACTAAACAATCTGGTTTCATTTATGCAGAATAACAATTTATTAGCATGCACAAAAAATTAAAATGTAAGCCACCTGGAATTGATCCAGTATCTTATACCCTGCTATATGAGCAGTGATTCTTTTATACCAATGGCTCAGCTTATCTTCAAGTTGAATAATTTACA